TCTAACAAAACTGTTTTCTTTTATAATTTTAGAAAGATAGAGAGAAAGCTTCAACACAAAATGCGATTCCNCTGTTAGTAGCCTACACATTTACTGACACAAACATTTGTATCATCTGTTGTAGACCCAAATACATTAAATAAAATAAGAACTCATTCTCAAAAAAGATATTATCTTTTTTGAGAATGAGTTCTTATTTTATTTAATGTATTTGGGTCTACAACAGATGATACAAATGTTTGTGTCAGTAAATGTGTAGGCTACTAACAGAGGCGGGGGTGTTTGTGAAAACAACGGGGACAGAGCTGGCTGCTGTCAGACGATCAGCTGTGCAGCGTCATCACAAACGGACGTCGCTTCCCGTGATGCTCCAGAGGAAAGGACGTCCCATTGCTCTTAAAACTCATTTCCCTGCTTCTCGTGGTTTCCTTGCGTCTCTCCATGCTTCCCTGGTGGGAGGGAGAAAACGCAGGGAAACGACGCAAGTGAGGGACGCAAGGATTCCATTTAATCGACCTGAGAAGGACCCATGAACTACATGTTGCTAAATCCACCGCAGAGAATAAACAGAAGGGCAACCATGGCAACCATGCTCGGGGTCTTCTTCGCTGCTTTTGGTGTATTTTGTGGCAGAAGTACAGCGCCACTTACAGGCCCGGCATATGTACTACAGCGTCTCCAGCAGGTTGAGCGTTCTCGTGTGAAGGGACACGTTTATTGAGCCGTATCCGTGTGAACGGAAGACTTTTTTTCCGATCGAATCCGGTTCGTTTGCGTTTCGTTTGCGTTCCCGTGTAAAAGGGGCCTAAATTACATGGTTTAGGACTATTCCATCTAGGTTCATCCCATATAGCCATATGTTCTTAGATATCCCCTTATTACATATTGTGGCCTCAGGCAACACAAAACAACATGACTTACTTAACAAAACTATGATCTGATGGCTCTTTGATGTAGGGTAAGTAAAAGTACCCTACAAAGTTATTGGATTTAGTTTGGTAAACAAGAAGATGTGTAGGTGATATTGCACTTAATAGGATTTAGTTTATACTGTTTGACAGTCTATTAAAGAGCAGATATTGTGAAAATGTGCCCCTTCAATATAAAGTTAACCCTATGAATACTTATAATATTCCTCACAGTGCTACAGAGTATGAAGTAACTACTTAACTAGACAATACACGTTTAAATTAATTAGTAAGTGGAAATAAAGGGCTTCAATAAGGATGAAGAAATAGCCCATAGACTCTCTTGTTAACATTTAATTAAATCCTTCGCCTTGACAAGCCAACTGTCTAAAGAGCAAGGAGTATTTGATAATTAACTTTTTTAATGAAGGCTATACACTTAAGGTAAAATGAGTGTTGCTGAAATAATCTATTCTTTATGCCATAGGACAAATTTAGAGTCCTATGGTATAAAGAATAAATGATGTCATTTAGGTGATAATGTTCTTCATCCTGTAGAGGCTGTTTTTACCCTATGGGAAAGAAACCATACGATATGTTGTCTTATTGAGGGCTTTACCTTGTCAAGTGAGCTTTGGTTTATTTCCCCACTGACATTCATCCCATCGAACAAATCCCTTCTGGTGCTGAAGGAGGAAAACTGTGGCTTTTTTGAATCAAACGCATTACATCCAACAGTTTCAATTAAGCGCTGGGTGTGAGCACAAATGGAGGAGCTACAAGCAATGATGACTATCTTAGCATCTGTCAATCAAATAGAAAGTATTACCAGTTAATGGCTATTTACTCATTATGTGAAATGATTCTATTTAGATAAGTTTATTTTAATGAAATATCACTTGATGTTCCAGAAACATGTTTTTCTGCTGATAGATGAAGACAAATGTTTCCATTGTGCAGCAGAACAGTAGCTTTTAGTTTCCTTCAGTCTCTTTTTCCTACATTTGGTGGACATGTATTGCAATAGGATCGAAACAGTCAGTAATGGTAGCTATTTTTTTTCTTTGCTTTTATCCATTCGATCCATCCAAATGTTGAAAAAGTATTTACAAAAATCACTATACGTACAGAATAGTAATTTCTTTACAACACAAGATAACACTTTCATGCAATCTTACCAGACACATACTTGTCAACCCTCCCGATTTTCGCGGGAGACTCCCAATTTCATTGCCCTCTCCCGGTTTCCTCCCGGGGTCATATTTCTCCCGCATTTCTCCCGATTTCTGACAAAATCAGATTTACACACGACTGTTTCCACTCGGACTTTAATACAGCTACACCATTGTTTGGTTNCATGATTTCCCCCTTGTGCCGGAGTTTTGGTCCTCGGGGGGGCGAAGCAGATGGTTGGGTTGGGAGCGGAGGGTTGCGGTGTGGAGGTTTTTGTGGTGGAGGAGTTCCTTTTCAGGGTATGGAGGTAGCTTCCCGGTGGTGCATGATGGGACAGTAGTGAGAATCTTGTATTCGATCCTGGATGAGACAGGAAGCCAGGTGGAGGAATCTGAAAAACAGGTGTGATGTTGTTTTATTTTCTCCCCTCATCGGGATTCCTAGCGGCCACTGTTCTGTAAGTATTGGGAGCTTCTGGGAAAGGGCTCCCGCTAGGAGCTCCCGATGACGGGAGGAGCGTTGCCGTAAATCGCAGCCTTTGGGGAGGAGACGAAGGCCATGGGGACCGTTGTCAGCATCTGCAGGGAGAGGGTGTGGGACGGATTGTTTGCAATGTTCCTTGAGGTTGGTCGAGGAGGTTTGAAACAGGGTGTTTGATGTGGGGTGGTCAAAGGTCAGGATGTCGGCTCCAAATCTTACACCCAGGATGGGGGTAACTGCTTGTGGAGATGGGTATGTTTGGCCAGAAAAGGTAATGTGGTTCATGCGGGGCATGATCTGGACCTGTTGGTTTGTGCCAACTAAAAGTAGCTTCTCTTTTGAGCTATTACGCCCTGTAGGAAGTTTGTTGCATCCAAGCCTTTATCTCCTCTATATGGCAGGTGTTAAAGGATGTGTGGGATGGGACGGGTGACGAGATTGGATTCGGCTGACAGTGAGGAGGGCATGGTTGGGATAGGGGTATGTCTTTATTATAGCTGCGTGTCATCGGCGCTAGCCCAGGTTGGAATGATATTCCATGCCTGACTGATGCACGGCCATGGGCAGCGAGTGTACAGGGTGAACAGAGTGCGGGCTCGAGGACCGGCCTTGAGGGACCACCACAGGTGACAGGGTGTGTCTGGCGACCTCGCACCCCCAGGAGACGTACTCTGTTCTTTCCAGGACAGGTAGCGGGACTGCCGCACCAGCTCAGGGGGCGGAGTCAAGAGAGTCGATGTGTGTTTGGAGGCGCTGAAAGGGAGGATTGTTTATTGGTCGACCGGGTGGGTCGGAATGCTGCAGTCAGATCCAGGAGCGTGAGGGAGAGGATGGGGATCCAGTGTCAGCCGCCATCAGCAGGTCGTTTGTGACCCTGACCAGAGCTGTTTCAGTGCTGTGGGCGGAACGGAAACCGGACTGGAATTTTTCAAAGAGGCCGTTTAGTTGGAGATGGTCCTGAAGCTGGGCGGCAACTACTTTTTCCATTACCTTGGCTAGAAATGGGAGGTTGGAGATGGGCCTGTAGTTGGCGAGGATATCTGGGTCTAGGGTGGGTTTTTTGAGAAGGGGTCTGATGATGGCAATTTTAAGAGCCGATGGAACATGATCAGCCTTGAGGGAGCTGTTGATGACGTAGGTGATCATGGGACTTATAGCCGAGATGTTCGATTTGACAATGGCTGAGGTTAGAGGGTCTAGTGTGCAGGTGGAGGGTTTCATCTTGCAGGTGATGTCCTCAACCTGTTGCTGAGAGATCTCCGTGAAGCAGCAGAGCGGTTGGAAAGTCCCAGGCTGTGGGTTAACAGTAGGGACAGACAAGGCAAGGGGTGGAGAGAAGAGAGCGAATAGTAGCAACTTTTGTCCTTTGTAGCTCTCCCCGCAGTTTCTTATAATTTTTGTTTATTGTGGGGTTTCTGCAGTCTGCTGCGATGGTAAATAAAATGTGCCTGTTTTTAAGATCTATTTATATTAGCTACAATGTCATAAACTGGTTGGTTGAAAGCTGAACAAACATGCACAGCCATTCTCAGTTTGAATCATTACAGAAAATAAACAAAACGAAAAGTGGCAAAGCTGTAGAATTGTATATTTTCTTTTAACAATAAACAAAAAAATCCTGTATCTGGAGCAAGAAAAGAGCTGTGATCACACACAGAGTTGGAGAACAAAATCCATAATCACAGGGTAGATGATTCAGCATTAACTCATTGTAATTGCATTATTCTTAAACAGTTTTCACTACCATGTGCAGAGAGTATTGTAATACGAACATCATATTTAAATGTGTAGAATTTGCTGGAATTTTCTGTTCTGTGTAGCAATTCACCCTGTATTTTACTGTTGACCTGACAGTATTTTCCCAACTATAACCATCTTATCTGAAGCTAATCTGTGTGTATGATAATTGATGAGACAAATGATAAGGGAAGAGAGCCTTCACTATCAGTGGTAAAGCAGGCTTAAATAAAAAATGGGAATTGTAGAATTTTTCTGGGGTAGCTTTACACAGATGGAACCAACTACATTTGATAGATGCAAGTAAGAGAAACATTCCTTATTGCTGTTGCAATGCATTTCAGAGTTTCTAGGACACAAGGTCAGTGTAGTGCTCTATATTATTTTAGGAGTTGGAGAGGAAGAATGAGGATACTGCTTTTCCTTTCCAATCCGTCAAACGACAGTGTCAGAGTTACAGTAGATCTGCGAGAAAACACTCAAGGTGAGAAGCCAGACCTTACAGTCACTTCTAGAGGAAGAAGTTAGCGACACAGCGCAGCAGCACCATGATAAGTGACTGTAACATTTGCTTTCACTGTCCTCTTGGGTGGGAAATGAAATGCATACTAAGGTCACACCTAGTCAGGTGATTGATAGCTAAAAGGGACAGAGAGGACAGAAAGAGGAAAAGATAGAAAGTAAATATATGAGACCATTTACCACGTTCTAGCTTCTTATCTGAGAACCGGTGGGAAAAACATGAGTGTGAGGGGTAAAGGGTGAAAATGGGCAAAATGAACGAGATGTGGGGGAGAGAAAGACAAAGAGACACAGTGAGTCCAGAAATCTCATGTTGCTGTCAGTGGATGATAAACATTTTCATACATCAACACTCAAAATGCTCAAACTTGGACACGCTCATGTGAAAACAAACCTGCAACTAGGCATCCACAAACACACACTCAGATACACACAAGAATAGACTTCACACTGGAAGTTGAAACATGTCCGATTATATCACAAAACAAGGGACAATGAAGTATGACAAAAGGAATGTGCTGTGTTTGTGTGTAAATGTAGGAGTTTGTATGACAAGTGTTCAGATAGTGTTTGACGATAAGAAGCTGTTGAAAATACTCACTATTGCCTTCCTCTGAAACCATCCCAAGGCCCTCAGCCTTGTTCTGCCTCTCAAAAGCATTCAAGTCCAAAACGCTGTCAAAATGAAATATTCAGTCAGTTAAACAATATAAAGTCCTATCCTACAAACTTGACTTACAATGAGCCCTTCTCAAAGATGAGTATAGCTAATACAGTCAATATGTATTCTTATATTCCAGGCTCAGTTTATCCTACATAAGCTTTGATTAAGTTATTAAACTTTAGGGGACACCGCATTTTGGAGTCACGAACAGGATCGCATCTTGGACACTGGAGGTGACTGACACTGCTCAGACAAAGGTACGGGACTTTTTGACACTATTATACAATTGTTAATGAGCAGTCTTTTCTAGGGACCTTATGCTGTGAGTGAAGTATAACTTCCATGGTCAAAAAAAGAAAGGTTAACAACAGAAATGCGTTACAGACCTGCAGGTCTGCATGAGAGCCTGAATGCTAAGGAAGAATCCCACTTCCTTTTTATCCTTCAGATAGTCCAACATCCGCTGCACACACACACACACAGAAACATAGAACATCAAATCTCATAGAACAAAACCTCTTTGTTACAGTTTCTAATTGAAATATGATTATCTTAGATTTATGTCAGGTCCATGTACCTGCTGTACATCACAATTGCCACCGTTGAGGATGGAGATTCCCATTTTAAGAGTAGAAGAAACCATGGCTCCAGGTTCGCCTGAAGTAAGACAAGACATCAGTTAGGCGCAACAACTTGGAAACCAAAATAAGAATCAAACTTCATCTTGTTTGTACAGGACTGCGTCATATTGCTCTTTGATGGTTTTACGACATAAGAACATAAACTGGGAGAATGATGTCTCGACTCCGCAATGTCTCGATTCCGCAATGTAATAATGACACTCCTAGAGCCTAGATAAGACCACAACATAATTTGTTGTTTAGTATCTGAAGTTGACACCATCATCCTAGCTTTCAATTGTCTGTGCTGAATGTTACCGTAACTACTATATCACCATAATCTCAAGGCAGATCAGGGCTTCCTCATGTAATAGTTACACAGCTCAAATAAGACATTTTTGATCAGATTCTAGCCCCATTTACCTTTGCAAGCACTGATCATCTGCAGAACCATCTCTGCGGCCCCGCGGTTGTGCAGACGGGACTGCTGATACAGAAGTCTCTGTTTCTCCATCTCCTTATCCTGTGGAGCAGAGCAAGAGGAACACCGCTGTAACCCTGCCAACCGGGACTGCACTGCCCCCCGCACTCACTCGCACATAAACACGCATACAACCTCACAATTTAATTCTAGAAATGGCCATCCATGGACTGCACAGAGAGACGTTCCCAATGAAGATAGAGCTGATGAATTACGAAAGGATATATTTGCTGCTCGATTTGGAAACAATTACAAATTGCCAATAACTTTTTTAATGATATTGTAATTGCGATAAGATCTGTGATATTAGAGGAAATTAACACTTTTGAAACATCAGTAACATAATCAATGAAAAATGTATTAAATAGGGATCTGTATGTAATATGGATTACTGTAAGTCTCTAGAAAACCGTTTGTAGGCCAGGAATTCTCCACAGCTTCACAATAATTACTTTAGATATTTTTCACTTATTTAGCTTTTACAAAAGATTTAGCTTACTGGATATTGGTAGTCCATATTGCAATTTAAATTAAATTAAAATTATTTGTGCAGCCCTAGCAAGATATCTAGGGTTTAAGCTTTCTGGTTTTAATTGACAACGATATTAATAGAATTTATAGACATTACAGAGTGTATCTCATCAAGCCTGTTCTAATGGTGTGGTTGTCAAATTTGGCACTACGATATAAAATGTTAGACGATTCTCATCACGGTCCTGAATAAACCTAATTTTAAATTATACAAATATTTGTTCTTGCTGCACCAGTGGCAATTTTAATAATAAAAAAGACAAATCTAAAATATGAAATCTCTTATCGCAAAAATAGGGATACCTGAACACACAAACACACATACACACACATTCTCTTCCAATGGATCACGTTGAGTATTAGTGATGGACAGTTATTCCAGCTCTTCCAAAGGCAGTGAACATTCCTTCCAATGGCATACCACACATTTCACACATTCTTACGAGGATGCAACGGCAGTCGTTTGATTCACACAGCATGCATACCCTGCTTTCAACAGCAGGTTAACCTGCTGCTACATCATGCTTATGAAAGCTTTAGCGCAAGTTCAATAAGGAAGACCTAACAATGAGTCACTTACATGTCACTCTATTGCTCTCTCCCCCCTCATTAAATGCATGGGCGTCACCCCCCAGCAGCCAATTGCTGCACACGTTAAATTCCTTAAAAGGCCTGCTCTTCCTTCCTGTCAGTTGTCATTTCAGGTGACCACACGCAACCCTCCTCCACCCCTCTCGCCTCCCGTCTCCTCCAGGACAAAGCTAAACCTTCCTCCTTCAGACCGGTCCCACCTACTTATCACCACCACCAGTGTCTAGACCCCGGGGATTTTCATCGGAGCGGTTCTTTCCCTCCTGAATGATTATCCTGCAAACCGGGGCCTAATNCAACAACAACAACAACAACAGCATTAGCAACATAAACAGTCCCACATCTAGTGTTCGAAAAGGAGTGAGAAGAAGTATAACTTATTTAATCTCACCCCCTTGTCCCTAAATGATTTATTTATAATCTATAATCTGCAATAATTATCATTATTATTGTTATTATTATTATTATTATTATTATTAATCTGATTTACCTGTTGATTGACATATATACATATACACATATACATACACACACATACACTGATATATGCACACATACATAAACACACCTACATACTCACACATATACACATACACATAGTGCTATCGAGTATGAAGTATCTGGCTTTCTTAACTACTTCAGTTGACAATCACATTTTCAATTAATTAGTAAGTGGAAATACAGGGCTCTAAACCATTGAATAAAGATGAAGGTAGCAGGAGAAATAGCCCATAGACTCTCTTGTTAACATGAAAATATGTCACAGTAGAGACACTAAATACAAATATGAACCTGAAAATGAGAATAACATGTCCTTTATATATTAAAGGTCCTGCTGACTTTATGTTTCTGGTTAATATTCTGCACCAACTCTCCTGTGTCTGAGACAATGACACTGAGTGGCAAAGAGAAGATCTGTGCCTTGATCTGTATCGGCATATTCATGTTAATGAGGCACTATACTGTCATTACAGAAATTGGATAACTCACTAATCTGTTCAATTAATTATTGACTCTGCCCTCTCATTTTCTCCACTTTTTCTAGGATGAGCAAGCTTTAAGTGAGAGATCTGTCCAGAAATCACTGTATTGACGTCAATTTGGCTCGAATACTGTATCTAAGCAAGCCAAGGAAGTGCAGTATGACTCATCTGCCTCACACCAACATCCACCCTGTCAAATAAGACACAAAGAAACTGCCATTTACCTTGTGGCCTGAAAAGTAGTGACATTATTGAGTATCCTACTGCCTGTGATATCAGGAAAACTGAGTCATTCTGTACAATTCAATAAAATGCCACCAAGGGCAACTACAGTACGTGAAGAGAAACCCCCACACACACATCCCGACTCCTCCACAGCCAAGTGTACAGGAAGTGCTGTTAGCTCTGAGCTATTTCTGTCCACATGCATGTTCTCCCTCTTAAATCAATTAAAGCCCATTTCAAGGGGCTAAATGGACTTGTTAACATCCTGTGAGCCATGGCAATGGATGAGGCCTGATTCACTTTCTGCTCTGAGCATCCTGTGGAGATACTGAAGCTACGGATGGAGGGACGTTAGCAAGGTAAAAGTTATAGTTAAGACGTAATAACTCGCTGGACAAAAGTACATGGCTGACGCTGAAATCTTGGGCTGCTCAATTTAACACCATTTACTAGACAGATGAGCTTTGTCAAATTGACAGGGTTCATTTTGTGTGACTATTATAATCGTGACTATTCTCATCAGCTTTTAAGACTAAATTAGCCGTGCTTGAATTGAGTGCTTTACTGACTATTGCTTCACAGTATGGTTACTTTAAAGAGTTGAAATCAATGTGTCATTGTAACTAGTGCAGGGCTCCTCTCAAGTTTTGAACAGAGTTCAGAGTGAGATTTTGGCAGCGGTGTTTGGTACTCCAACTTCTGGCTCCCCTCAAAGTTCCCATGAAGCCCTCTGTATCGCGAATTTTAAAAGGGGGGGGGTGCTAGTGGAGTGCTCGCGTCTCAAACAAGCCTAGTTTGTTTACAAAATTGTGGCGCAACTTGGTGGGCGGTACCCTGGAAAGAAATCTCTGCGTGAGAAATACAAGGTGTGGCGTGTGAGCGTGTGAATGGAGTGAAATGCGTGAGACTTGAGAGCTCTGCTAGTGCGAAGACTTAGTGAGCATTTAGATGTATTTCCTATGTTACTTTTTAAAGGACCTGCAGGAACGCTGGAGCTCTTGGGCTATCTTATTTATAATTTATGTATTTATATATTATTCAGGTCGGCGCTTCATCGATGTTTCTATCCTCCCATGTAAACACTTGGAGGTTATCAAGAAAGTGAAAAATAGACGATTAGTTTGACTGGCTTTCACCTAGAAGACAGTGTGCTTTTAAAAATCAACTTCTGTTAATCGTAAACAATTAATGACCGTTCAATTCTATTTTGTTAAATTGCAGGTAAACAGTAACATCTAACGCAATAATATGCCTTTCCAGAACTCGAAATGTGTCTTATTTTCATGATATGTCTGGTCATACTTGCCAACCTTTAGACCTCAGAAATCGGGAGCATTTCAAAATGCAAAATGGGGGGGGGTGCTANATACACATTTATTGTTACACGTCATATAAATGAAATGATTGCCATGATAATACAACAGGAGAATGGAATGGTGTTTGGCGATTAGGCCCCTGCAAACCGGGGCCTAATCGCCAAACACCATTCCATTCTCCTGTTGTATTATCATGGCAATCATTTCATTTATATGACGTGTAACAATAAATGTGTATTCCATACATCACGTCTCTCCGGTTTGAACTGTCACGGGACATTAGCTGGAAATCTGTAAACCTCAACCTCAAAAAAAGGCAGAGGTACTTATTTAATGCATCATACATTTTGGACATTGAGGTTTTAATAAAACGTAAAATTAAACAAATTGTAGTTGTTTTGAAACGTTGGAAACACTGTACAATACTAGACTACTTATTTTGTTGCTACTACCTAAAGAAACACTTCACTTCTCTACTCTAATTACTCTGTATTTTGTTATACTTAACTGCACAATGCTGCCATTTTAAAAACCATATGTATTCCACTGAGATACTGCACACATTTCCTTTATAATGTAATTTGTAATTATTGTACGAAGATCTTAGCATATTTATCTTCTTGTCAATATATATATATATATATATTCGTTTATGTTGTACGTTTTCATTTAAAAAATAAATAATACTTCTATATTTTTGGGCTTTTTAGAACTTAATACCTCTTTTATGATTATGCACTATTTTACAGCAAAGCACATTTCTACATTTAAAAAAAAAATTATTATACAGTTGATCTGCTATTAACAACTATCGTCTTTACAAAAAAGGTTAGGTTTTAAGCCCCCAACACACACCATGCGCGAAGCCACGACCATAGCACCAAAAAGAGGAGACCCCCCCCTCCCTCCCTCCCTTATAAGCCTGACTGTGATTTAAAAAATGTGGAGCAGCGTTTCCCTTCGTACAGAGGTTGTCCTCATATTTCGAGTTGAGTATGTGTGTTTGTGATGAGTGAGAAGAGATTTTGTGTTTTATTAAGAGAGTGTGCTTGTGTTTGGGACCTTGTATGAACGGCTGACTGTGCAGGCTTTTACTGTAGTGCTTGGTGAGCACTGAGAGGGAAACATGGTCCAAATCAAAGTAAAGACAAACAAAATCCGTTACTTGCCAGTTGTTAGATTTCAAACTAGAGTTAACAGGTGAGTCCGTCCTAATAAGCGGGTGAGTACAAGAGGGTATGAGTCAGGGAAGGGGGATTCAAGACCACAGTCACAACACATCAGCACCAGAGAGCTGCCTCTACTGACACCTGCTGCATGGCTTGCCCTGATAACTGTCATCAGTTTCCAAAAATAGCTGCTTGATTTAGTCTTGGAAGACAACATTACATTTCTGAGCACATATCAGGTGCCAGATAATGATGTTCAGTTAAATAAGTAACCTTAAGTGAGAACATTGAACTAATTAAAGGGGTTCTTGCAGGAATACTTTACCCCAAAATGATAATTTGAGCATCAATGATTTACCCATGTTACCATGAATTGCATGAGAATCCAAAAACAGAGAACATTTAAATATGTACAGAGATGTTTTGGTATAGCTTTGCAGTTAACAAACTGCACCATTTACTTCAATTCAAATATTTTCAAAGTTTTTGGAGTCATTCCTCACAGAGGATAAGAAATGCAAGTTTTCTTCACAAATTCAAGGTAACAAACATTTATCATTTTGGGGTTAAGTAATCCTTTAAAGTAAATTAAAGGATTTGGATTGCATATTGGTGTATTGCTGTCCTCCAGGAAAAGCAATGGATCTATATATTTACAACATCACAGGGTCCAAGCCTGATCTATGAAGCAAAACTAAATATTGATCTGATCATTGAAATTAGCTGGGGAATTTGTCAATGTTAACTATACAGTTTAACTTAAGTTTTGTGAAGCACTGTTAAGATGTTGATGCTGTTGATGTTCAAACCTAATACATCTGTTTACGACAGACATTAAGCTGTAATTTATTTTTAAAACAATTTCAAATTGAGATTGATATTTCATATTTCCAAAGCCCCATTTTAAATTCCATCAGCGATGTATTATTCTTAGGTTTTAAGCTCTGTATCACAGGAATTATACTTTCTTTCACACTTCATTTTTCTCAATTATGTTGAATTTAAAATGTGCCTACTGCTAAATGTATTAAGATATTAAGTATTGAGTTCACACGCTAGGCCATAATGGATTGCAGTAATCTTCTGTTTAGATCCCTAAAATTCAGGCTTGGAATTTGTGATTCTGAAATTAAACACCTAGCAAAGCTTCAACCTTGGTTTCATTTTGTTGTCTTTAGCTGCACCGACTCTCTGGACTCAAGTCATGCAATTTAGGAAATGGACATTGATCCGACTGGTGGGCAGAGTCCAGCAAAGGCATGCACAGGTCAGTCCACCACAGCAGGAAGTAGACACGTGGTGTGAGTGGACAGAGAAAAGACAGGAAGAGAAAAAAGAGAAACGTTGTGGTGGTGGGGGGTTTGTGCCGAGTGTGATGTCATGGTGTGGCGATGGGGAGTTGCTTCTCCGCTGACTCCCCCTGTCTCCCTTCCCCTGGTCCCCCCCATACCAATTCTGTCTGTTGCACCTCAAAGGCTGGCTCCTCCCCCTCCTGATCTCCCCCTTCGTCCTCCTCACCAATGTGACAGCTCTGAAAGGATGAAGATGGCAGGTCAGGAAGGAGTGCAGGATCACTCACTTTACTCCACAAAGCACAACATGTATATGAAAAATAATAACAATTAAAATGTTGTTAAACCAGGCATCAAAGTGAATTTGTAATAGTGGCCAAATGGTGGTACTACAACATCCATGTCTGTTACGTGACGTCATTATTATAGATGTGGAGACTTGATATCATGATGTAGCAACTATATTGAAGCATTGACTTTTGGTTCTTGCACAATATATATTTGTAAGTGTTAAAATGAAATATTACAACAGCTAGATTGGTAAATCCCCCAAAATATATCACCTTACGGAAATGCAGCCAAGATAAGACAACCCTTATGTTGTATTAGGATATTACGATATCCAAAAAGTAAGAGGATATGTAGTCTTTTATCAGGATATACTGTATATAATATGGATATATTGCCCAGCCTCAGTGCAAAGCACACAATTAACATATGAGAACATTGTTCATGTGGATCAAATGTAAGTTTCTGCTCACTGACTGTCTTACCTTTGCCATAATATCAGCATAAGACATATAGAGGTGGTCAACGTCAAGTTTACTGCAATGAGAAAAAGACAGAACAGGAATCATCACTGAGGAACAGGTAGAAGGTTAGCCGCAGGAAAAGCAAACGACTCTTACGTCTTCTCTGTGAGAGCTGTTCGGCTGAAATGAAGAATCAGCTGATGAAGGGGGTCAGGCTTCGTCTCGGTCTCCTCTTCCTCTTCCTCCTCTTCCTCCAAGGCTTTCTAGTCATTGGATATAACATGAATCATAAGAAGTCCTAGCGTACACAATGGACGATATCCTTAAACGCCAAATTGTAGATCTCAGAATCAAATGGAGGATGACTTACTGATAAGTCGTCAATCATCTTGTCCTCAAACAAGTAACCTTCAGTCTCCAACCAGTTGCGTTTGTAGGCATCTAAGAACATGTTGGTCGCCCTGTGCCTGTTGGGGGGGGGGGGGACATGCAATTCAACACGTTTGTAAATGCTAGTGTCAAGTGTTATTTTTCTTTCTTTAAAAAAAATGTACCCTGCTTATATTGTATCTCACTCCAGTCCCTTCTCCCTCACCCATTTACACCAACTAACAACCACACACTTGCTGTATCAAAGTTTCAACAAAAAAAACATTCTTTATTTAGAATATTTAAAAAATGGTTGTAAATTATAATCTCCACATACAATAGAATCAGTATAAAGGCACATAGATATATATATATATTCTGTGAATTGGGTGGGGTTAAATCATATAGCTAGGGAATACCTTTATAATAAGAAACTTGATTTTTTTTAAATCAAAACCTCTCTTCTCTCTGGTTCTTAAGTCATAAAATACAGGAGACAAAACAACTTGGATCACACTTAGGATGGATCACCAGAATATGTATCACTTGCCCTTCAGCCCCTTTACTACTATAGAGTGGTGCAGTGAATTAGCAAGAGTTTTTCTGTCATTTGTCATACTTTGTAAAGAAATATTGTCTGCATGTGATCCTGTGTTTGTCTTCACCTGTCCTGTAATCTCTTAATCAGCCAATATAAAGAAAGAATGGAGTATGAAGGAGAATCCTTACGCGGGGATGTTGTAAAGGGGGGTCATCCTGAAACAGGCCACCACAGCTCTGCGCCGCTGCTTTGACAGCAGCTTGTGCCACACCATTTTCTTCGACTTGTAGGGATGCTCCGTCTAAAGCAAGATATATATGTTTACTGAAACAATCCTTCCTTAGAATAAGTCCTCATGTTTCATGAAAGCGCTCTAAATAACGAAACTTGTGTCTTTACTCACCACCTCGATGTGGTAAAGGACAGCCGACACCTCTTGTACTCTTTTTACCACTTTCTCAGGGTCCTCTGCATCTTCTGCCTTCCCGGAATTCTCCTTATAAAGAGACATCTGCCAGCGCATAGCGGGGTCCTCCACCTGAAGACAAATATGCCTATTGTGTGAAGAAATATTTACAAGTAATATCTTTAATATGTAAAACGATAATAAAGATGAACCTACCTTCCCTTGCAGATGCAGATTGTTGGTCAAGAACTCCCTAACCTCTTCATCCGTGTCTTTCTACAAGGGAAGAGACCAGGATTGGGGGGAAATTCATCGTTTATTCATTCACTCAATATACATACTGTACATCAAAAAGTCTAACAAATGACCCTCAGATACAGTTCCAGTTTTGTCATGTTGGGGCAAGATACAGTCAGCGAGTTGGTTTCAAACACATCCAAGTACCAGTGAGTATCTGATCTTGGCGAGGTTGATGAGCTCCTGGTCTGCAGGAGAGCACATGTTGAGGCCGATAGGAAGCATCTTCTTTAAAGCAGCGACGATGAGGGAGGTCTGCACAGAGTAGCGGTCCCCGCGCCGTTTCTTCTTGGTACGCTCCTGCTCTGAGCCTCCAGACTAAAGAAAAGAGGACACGTTGAAACCGATTCATCAGTGATCCATTTAAAAGCCCCTGCGCCTCACACATCAAACATTTTCTTTTCAGAAAATATAATATATTATAAGTTTTATATAATATCAGAGGCTTTTGACAATATTTAACAAATGAAGTAAGGGCTGCTTCTCACACAAAACATAACAGGAACCAACTGCTGAGGTAACATCTTAGGGAATGGGAATGTGATGTCTTTACCAGCACGTCAGCCATCTTTGAGGATACCAGCTAATGCAACCAAACCTATTGACTTTACCTGTATGGCGACCTAAGCAGCAGAACCTTTTCACGTCACTTTTTAGTTGAAACCACGACCAACAAACAAAACAAAAGAGGATTATGAAATTCTTGGGTGATTATGTTCCTACATGGATGGTCATGAGTCGTAGCAAACATTTGCAATCTATGCCACATGGTCTGCTGATAGTTTACTGCAAGTGCTGAAAAGAATTGCTGAACTACAGTAACACAAACCACTACAAATAAAAAAAAGTTAATACATGAAATATCTCAGTATATATAAATATATAGGTAGATAAATGCAAGACAAGCCAACGTTTTGTGAGCATTCACCTATCACAACATTAGCTATCCTACTTTTGTCTGGATGATTGTGGCCTCTACATCTGAAGGTCCTGTATTCCCTGTTTGTAAACTTGCCAATGGCCTCTAAATATTTAACATTTTAAGATTGCCAACAGGTGTTGGCACTTACTCCAAACACCAGATGGACGCCAAGATCAGTAACAGTGATCAGAGCATTCTTCTCTTCATTCGTAAGTATAGGTACCGTTAATTAACTGAATTTTGCAAAGAAACGCTCTTCTCTCTGTAAGGGAATGGATTTTTGTGTCCGTACTTATTCGTTTCGAATCCAAAACAGCTGAAAGCTGATGGATGTTGACAGCACATGATGTTGCTATAGTTGCTATCCTTCAAAGATGGCCGCAATCCCACAAAATGCATCGCGGTTCCCATTTGCTATACCACAACATGCCAATAAAGTGAATCAACAACTTAGCGAAAGTTTAATCTGAGAAACTAATACAGACCCACAAATACATTTTCATCCAAAAATTGTATGGGTTCGGTTGCTCGCTGCTGCATCAGCTACAGACATTATGCACAATGCAGCCTGGCAGTTAGTAGAGCAGTGACAGGGCACTTTCTGTCTACTGGACACAGAGCAGTCTGTGGGGTCAGCTCCATCGCCCTGGAGCTCTTCTCACACACTCCTGTCCTGAAGCTGCCAATGCTCATTGCTGACTGTTGCCTGGCCTCACAGCAGGCCCTCTGCCCTCAGTGCAGCGTGTGGACCTGGGTCAGAACCGCTCTTTGAGCAGAGAGAGGCGTTGTGATGGTCAGGCAACAGGAGCTTACTGCAGTAATGCCCATATGAAAGCCAAGGAGAGGAGGTTTTCTTATTTATCTTACAGCAACCACGGAAAAAAACATCAAAACAGAGGTTATTCAATGATTTAACTAGTTGATGGAGTCAATGAATTAGACATGGAGGGACATGTCCAGTTAGTAAATATGGTGGTCTTCAGTTCTCCGCCATATGCTGCTGACTGACCAAGTGAATCTTATGGTATGGTATTTTGGTGAAAAGAGATAGTGAAAACAAAGCTGATGATAAGACTGAAAAGAGAAGAGTCCCCCAGCGCAGGAATCTTTTACCACAAAAGCTGAAAGAAATCCCAAGTGTCCTTAAAAACACTTCAGCGTCACAGATGGCACAGCAGCACGGTGTCCTCAACTGTATCCGTCAGGGACCATCTGAAGGCAAACTTTTTATTCATCAAAGAACAATAGGGTGATGGTGCTCGGCCGCAGAATTGCACATCTGCTCAGCCGAGCGCCATGACACCTCTCAGGCCAATTCCATCTACTGTACAGCAAAGAGCTTTCATCAAGCCGCTCCAGACCCATACTCACACATACACATACACATACACACATAGACAGGACGCACATCGCTTACACGCTCAGATTCAAACTCAATATTACTTCAAATAATATCGTGAAAGGGTCCCACTCACAAAAAGCAGTTTCAACTAAGTCTCCATTAAACAGTATCATCTTACCTATGGATATCAATTATTATTGTAACATAGCTTATACTGAGGAATGAATTTTACTGATAGTAACTGTGTGTTAATTAGGGCTGCACAACTAATCAAATTCAATCTAAATCAGAATAATCCGTGTATCTACCGTCCAATTGTTTTTCTTTATTAAACACGTAAATGGAAGAGCGTCTGAGAGGCCTTTTTGCTTTTTACCTTACTAAATGGTCAAATGGTTATTGAAGCGAGGGGCGGGGAGAAACTCACGGAAGTTATTTCAAAACAAAAGCACTCGTTTGCTTTGAACGGTGATAATATTATAAACGAAACAAGGTGAATTTAGCGATCACAGCGAAAACGGCCAAGACACATATTGAGCCCAGAAAACGAATGTTATTAAGGGCTGTAAATATAATAAGCCTATGTCTAAAATGGTTGTTGTTAAGAGATGTAAACTATACAGCGATTCTGCACTGCGGTCACTCAGGCGTCTCTCGAGTTTGTTTTTTCAAATCAGCTTCTTTTTATTATTCCTGCTATATTTGACGAGTGATACAAATATTTGTTACCACAAGTTCTTAAGGAAACTGACACTGTTGGACTCGGTTCTAGTTTGACTGCAACCAGAAATAAAATGAAGTACTTTTACTAGGCTACTTTGTGAGTAATCCTCTGTCAAAGTCCCCTCCATAGTGCCCTACATAATGCATGTTTTTTCTGCTATCTTTGATGAATGATACAAATATAATTTTACCATTAGTTCTTAATGAAATTGATACTGTTTGACTTTGTATTAGTTAGCCTACTACTAACAATACATTGAAGTACTTTTACTGTGTATTTTTTGAGAAGTCCTCTGTCAAAGTCCCCTGCTGAGAACAAAATCAAGCCACTTCTTCTAATTTTGATGAGGGAATTCTTTTTTGTTGCCATTAGTTCTTCGTGAGATTGATCCTGTTGGACTCAGTACTAGTGAAACTACCCCCACAAGTAGCCTACTATGAAGTACTTACTGTGTACTTTTCCAGTACTCCTCTGTCAATGTCCCCTCCTGAGTACAAGAATGCATGTTTCTCTGCTATTTTGAATAAGCGTTAAAAAACCTTTCTTCCTGAGACTTATATTGTTGGACAGAGTATTTTAAGAGGATATGGTGGACATGATATCAGCAATACTTCCAGTCAGTACTCCAGCAGCAGCATTTTTACACCTTGGAAAGTCTTTAGAGTCTGGCCTGGATAGCTGGTATATCCTTCAGCAAAGTGACACACCCTGTCATATGGTTGCCCTCTTATGATGCTGCTGTCTTTTAATATTATTTCTCAACCGCTAGTTCGTTCCTCGCAGATTCTTTAGTCTCATCAGCCTCATCCTTCCATCAGGCCCAGTCAACGCCTCCAGCACACTTCCAGTGTCTGACTCCATATGATATTGTCCTGATGCTGTAAGGGTGATGCCCCATGATCACAAAATGACCCCTTAAAGTCTGAGTGCCAACTGCCAAGGACCTCATATTATGTCTGTCATTAATGTTACATCACCCATTATAACAGTTTTCTTTCATTTTTTCTCTTCTCTTAACTGCATAGTCCTGTCTTTAAGTATAATACAATGTAAAGTATTTTTCCTGCACCATTTTAAGGCTTCAAAACAGGCATTTTTACTGTATGTGTTTGGAGAAATGACACAATCAATGGCCCAGAATTGTACTTTATAAACTCTGAATCTTGTGGTGCTTGGTGAAATACAGACTGGTTAAGCCGGCCAGGTTACAGATGTAGCGATTCATTTCAGACAGTTTGAAACGCGAGGGCCGTGATTGGTACGTGATCTGCCCTCGCTCAAGGGAAAACCTCCAGCTTGACTTGAGACCGCCCCCGTGATAGATAAATGTAATTATAATGAAGCCAGCTGCAATGGATCATTGATCCACCAGGGGGTGCAGTGGGGTTCCACACTGGAGCTCATGTGAAATAAAGTCATGTGAAATAAAGTCATGTGAAATAAAGTCAGATACAAGCTGGATGTACAGCGGAACTTTGTTAAGATCCATATGTCACGGATATCATACTACTGTGCTAAATAAGAGACATGTAATCATTTACAAAACATCACCATGTTGTTATTTAACAAAATAATGTTGTTTAGTCGAAAAAAACGAACAGGAGGAAATGCAGCCCGGCTCTCGATTTTTAATCCTAATTTAATCATCATCTTCACCACGATCATTTATGTTTATGTTCGCCGAATTGACATGAAATCACTGACACATATGAATTTACTGTATTCAACTTCATTAAAACGATATTAACGTGCCTAAACTGAGTAATTCACTAAACATATTTATATTTTAATGGAGCCTCGTCGGCAGATCAGGATCCCAAAGCGTGGCGGAGGGATCCTGATCTGCATGACGGGTGCTATTTTCCCCATAAGGAACAAGTCGCTGTGCAAATGTATCCCGCTATACACGCTATGTCGATCGCAACAAAGTAACGACAGTACTCCCAGATGTAATTGAAATCTTTGTATGTGATAGAAATGTTTTAGTTGATTTAAAAAATAGTTGTATGTATGGAAGAATGAACATGCATCGGGGCCGTGAAAAAAAAGCGGTTGACGTTGTGTAAACTATCAAAAACAGCGTCGCACTGTGATTGTCACACGGAAGAAAATGCCCAATCAACCACCGCA